GAATCATGGGATGCCATATGCCACATTAGCACTGACGAGGTATTGGAACTCCACGTGTTCACCTTTTACATGTTCACTGGTTTATATGTTTACGAACACATGTTTAGGTGTTCACCGGTTACATTAACTCAGAAAACAAATCTGAAGGCACAGGAAAAGATGTCTTATGTGGCCTTGTGTGCCAGGCACCGTGCTGAGCACTCTCCCTGAATTATTTCATTCAATTTTTTCAGTAGTCCTAAAAAGTAGGTATTAAGAGCTGCATTTTACAAGATAGGAAAACTAAGGCTCTGAAAGATTATTTATCTAAGGTGCCTTAGTTGAGAAGCAGTGATATGTCTTAGGTGTGAGAATCCAAGGCCATTGGTTCCACTCCTTTCCACCATCTTAGAGTGAGGAAGAGTATATAAACGGAAACGTGGCCACATAATGAATCACAAGCTAAAGAATTCTTTTTCATAGAGTTTTGATATATGTTATCAGACAATTGTTTGGCTAAAATATTTTAATAAAATGTAAATATCAAACATGAGTTTACATTACATTGATTTTTTTTTTTTGGAGTGTAATTGCTTTCAATGTTGTGTCTGTTTCTGCTGCACAACAGCAGCAGAATGTGAATCAGCCTTATGTATACATAGACCCCCTCCCTCTCGAGCATCCCTCCACGCCCCACCTCCCCCAGCCCGGCCTCTAGGTCATCAGAGAGCACCAAGCTGAGCTCCCTGGGTTATACAGCAGCTATTTTATGACATTCATTTTTGATTGTTTTAGTGAGAAATATTTGGGAAGTGTCCTGGTGGCTCAGACAGTAAACAATCAGCCTGCAATGCAGGAGACCCAGGTTCAGTCCCAGGGGTTGGGAAGATCCCCTGGAAAAGGGAGAGGAAACCCACTCTAATAGTCTTGCCTGGAGAATTCCATGGACAGAAGAGCATGGTGGAGAACAGTGTGATTGCTATTCAAACATGTTAGTAACCAAGCACTCATACTAGAAGCTCAGGGGCTCTAGTCTTCAAAAACTGGGTTGATAAATGACAACCCATGGGCCCAATCTGCCCACCCACTGGTTTCTCGAGGCCCATGAGCTAAGAATGTTTTAACATTTTTTTTTAAAGGGTGAAAAAAATAGAAATATATTCTGACACATAAAAGTACATAAAATTAAAATGTCACGGCCCATAAATAAAGGCTTTATTACAACACAGCCAGGTTCATTTATTTACCTACTTTCTATGGCTACTCTCGTGTTACAACTGCATGGAGCGGAGAAGTTGTGACAGAGGCTATGTGGCCTACAGAGTCTAAGTTCCTATCAGAGCTTCTACAGAAAAAAAATTGGCTGACCCCTGTTCTAGAGCATTCACACATTCAGGCACAATGTGAGTTTCTGAATTTTTTCTATGAAATTCTGAAACATTCTAATTTTTTTTTTTTCCTGCCAGAAAGAATGCTAAAGCAGCCTTTCTCTGAAAAAATTTTGATAGCCTGGGCTGATTTGAAATGACACCATTAGATTACAGTCCAGTGCCTAGTGGGTCCTTCTTGAAAGACCCCTGCCTTCACTCATCTTTTAGATACATTAGAGTTATCTCTAGACAGTAAAGCTGCATCTTACTATCCAACCAGGCCTTCCTTTATTTATACTGACTGCATTATGGGTTTAGTTTCACAACATTATGAGTTCATCCAAGCTTCTTGAATCATTTATAGGGACTTTCATTTTCGATCTCAAATTCTTCCACTCTGCTATGAAATTTTTTTTTTTTAATGTAAAGCCCAGAGCACTAAATGGGTTACACATGTAAAATACAGCCCATAATTTTATTTATCCTTTAGCTTTAAGAAATCAGAATTTTAAAAATTGCTTTTTCTTGAGAAATGAAACTTAATTTTGCAGAAATAAAAAAATGCTTGCATGTCCAGGGATCTCAAAGCACCTCTGGTGGAAATACAAAACAGGGTAAAGAACGTCTATTTATTTTTAAATACTGTTTACTTCTTGAGGGAAGTAGTATTTAATATAAAAGATGTGACTAGTAACAAATAGAGTCCAAGGCTATTTCTGGTTCTGTCAATGACTCACTTTGACTTTGAGCAAATCGTCTCGCCACTGTTGCTCTTTATCTGCAAAAACTGGACTTCATGCCTATGGGAGTTGCATGGCTAATCAATGCCTGAAAAATGCGTAGTGGCAGATGCTACAAAAGTGCTGAGCCTTAAAAACAAAACCACCCCCACCCCCGATTTGTATTCAGTTGAGGTTGGGGCTTATTGTTATTTAACATTCGAAGGCCAACACTACGTTAAGTCCAGCGTGCTGAACAGAACAGATAATAATCACCGCCCAGTAGAAATTAAAAAAAAAAAAAATCTAAGATTTTTGGACTTTTTATTTTTTCCTTTTCGCGGTTAGGGGTTATTTTAGCATCTAGTAATATATCCATACAAAAACATTCAGCTCTAAGTTGAAAACTATCGATTTGAAAATCTAAATAAACCCCCTGGAAAAGAAAAAAAAAAAAAAAAAAAAAAAAAACAAAAAACACTGAANATCTCTCAAAACAAGAATTCTTCTGATGTTTTTTTTTCCTCCCTGCAGTTCTCCATGTTACAGTCCTTGGAGGTAGAATAGGCATAAAATACTTTCACTAATAAAATATGACAAACCGCCGGATTATACGTGGCCGATTCCCAGTGATCGCCCAGCTACACAAAGCAGAAAAGTAAATGCCATCATCCCCCTTAGAACAAAAGAACTTAGGAATAAAAAACACGGAGGGGGGAGAAAGCGGCAATAAATGAAGGTGAGCGAGGACCCCGGCCCCCGCCCCTCCCCGAAGCGAGTGTGGGACGGAGTGTGGCTAATAAAGTGGTTCAAGGGTAGTTATTTGGAAAGGGGGCGGGGTAGCGAGGGGAGGGAGCGGGCGAGCGAGCGAGCTAGCGAGCGGCGGCCGGGGATTGCATGTTGCATTCGACTTGAGGTGGCATCTTTCTCCTGTTGCCTGGACCACGCTCCCCCATTGCAGTGCTTCCCTCCTCGCTTCTCTCCATCCCTGCCCTACACGGCTTTCTCCCCCCCACCCCCCTTCCAAACTGCTGTTGCACTGGAGGGAGTTGGGGCCGCTCCGGAGCCCCTTTTGCAGCTCCTGCCGACGGGAGGGGGGAGTTGGGCTCGGGCCGCCGAGTTGGTGGTGGTGGTGGTGTTGGGGGTTGGGGGGGGGGTGTCGGCCGCAGCGGGCTCCGGCCTCGCCTCAGCTGCAGCTCCGTGGGTGCCGAGCTGCAGCGCTGCACGGGCCCATCATTGCGGCGGCCCCGGAGTTTGGCCGCTCGGTGCTCAGCCCCATCACCACCGCCGCCGCCGCCGCTGCACTGGAGTTTGGCTGCCGCTGCCCTACTTCACTCTAGTTTAGTTTCACTCACTTTACATCCGGGTTTTTTCCCTAGGCAATGGGGGCCGCAGCACACCCCGTTCCTTAGGCAAAGTGAAATAAATTCGCCGCACCGACACGTCAAGTAGTCCGCCCGCCCGACGCGGGCGAGAGTGTGTCTGGGCCTGGGCGGAGGGATCCCCGGGCTGAGGCGGCGGAGGTGCTGCGGCCCGGGGCCGGGTGGTGAATGGGCTGGTGGTGCTCGCCGCCGCCGCCGCCGCTGCTGAGGAGGAGGAGGAGGATGAAGAGTTGGGCTTGTTTGTCTCCCACAGTTTCTCTCCTGCTGCTCTGATTTCTGCCCTCCCGTTCCGGCCCGGGGCCTGTGTGTGTGTCTGTGTGTGTCTCTCCTGGACGAGGAGGAGGATCCAGTTCCTCCCCCCCACCCCCTCCTCCCCACCCCCCCTTGCCTGGGGAAGAGGAGGAAAGAAACAGCCCAGAGAGAGAGAGAGAGAGAGAGAGAGAGAGAGAGAGGGAGAGTGAGTGAGGGAGAGAGGGAGAGAGAGAGGAGGAGGAGGGAGAGGGGAACAACCTACCATCTTAACACACTAATATCTAAAAAGTGCGAGAGGCCCAGAGCAGCAGAGAAGCAGCAGCAGCCGCTCCAGCGCCTTCCCTCCCTCCCCATGAAGAAGAGTTCCCTCCTCCTCCTCCTCCTTGCTTCTCCTGCTCAGAGTTCCTGCCTCCAGCTGCCAGGGGGGACAGCCAGCCAGCAGCAGGAGGGTGCAGTATCCCAGCTTTTCCATTCTCTCTTCTCCTCACTCTCCTCTCCTCTCTCTCTTTTTTTTCTGGAGTAGCTCTGTTTCCCCTCCCTCCCCCCTTCCCCCTCTCTCTTCTCTCTCTTTCCTCTCTCTCCTCTCTCTCTGTCTCGTCTCTGGTGTTTGTCTCTGGGAGGAACAGGGGGCTGCTTGCTTGGAGTTTGTTGTTGGGGGGGAGGGATGGTCGCCGGGGCTTTTTCACTACCCCACCCCCCACCCCTCGGGATGCTGTCGGGGGGAAGTTTTTATTATGGTTATTTATTTAATTTTTTTTTTTTTGGGAAAACCATCTTGTTTGGTGACTGAGGGATCTGGTTTAAAAAAAAAAAAAAGCTGCGGCTGCTGACGCTGCCGGGCCCGTGTGTGTGTTTGTGTGTGTGTGTGTGTGTGTGTGTGTGTGTATGTGTGTGTGTTGGTGCATTTGTCTTGGGTGGCCGGAGCAGCGTTGGGGAAATTCCGCTTATTCTTCTTCTTCTGCAACTTGTTATTCCGGAGAGTCTGCCTGCACCCCTCACCCCGGGGCCGGCCCTCCCGCACTCGCCCCCGCCGCCCGCGGCCGCGGGGCGCCCCCGGGACCCCGAGCGGGCCGGGGCCGGCAAGAGAGGGGCCGCGGCCGCCCCTCCCCCGCCCGCGCCCCCGCCGGGGGGAGGGGCGCGCGGAGTGGGACTCTTTCCGTTTGGTCCAGCCCCGTCGTGCACGCAGTTCCCAACACTTCTCGTCATCCTCTCTTTGGTCTCTTTATTCTGCTGAGCGGTGCTGCTAGGATTTCTTTCTTTTTTTTCCTCCCCTGACCACGTTCGCGATGGTGGGTAGCAGCAAGGTGGTCCTGGCAGGGGAGGGGTCGATGTCGAGATTGGGCACCGGGGGGAAGAATGTGTCCTTTCAACTTTGTCTGTGGCTTGCACCCCCGGAGAAGGCCACACGCCGGTTGTGGGGTGCAGATGTGCCGAGAGTGATTTCTAAGTAGTTGAGTTGTCGAGATGAGGGTAAGACTGCTAATGGTAGGCAGGTTTTGTTTTCATTGGTGAATCTGGTGTCATCATATTCCGGTCATATGTTGAAATATTCTTTGTTTAGGTCTTGAAGTAGAGGATCTTACTCCGCACGTCCACATTGTGGTGTTTTTAAATGATGTCTCTGCAAGTATGGCTTTCTAGAATTTAAAATGTGAGTTAAGGTCCGGGCGTGTGCGGGCCTCAGCACTGGCCTTGACAGTGAACTTTGTGGCTCTGTTTTGGTTTTCAAAGATTTGCTCCATAGCTGGGGTGCGAGCTGTGCATTTTAGTGTCAGGAATGTAGATGCTTGAGCTGGGGACGTTGGAGAAGGAAGAACATTTATATATTAATAATTGATAGCTGAATATTAGGATCAGATTAATTTGGACTGATGAAAGTTTTTTTTTTTTTAAAGCAGTTATGCACTCTAGGAAGGAAGCCTTTTCATAGGCACACTTTATAGGGGTTCTTTAGGGCGCAGAGCTTGAATATCTCCCTTTAGAGAGGATACTCACCAACATCTGTAGCTTCATTGAGGGCCTGATAAAGGGACTGAAACTGGGGCTAAGATATCGAAGTGTACTTTTCAGTCTTTATGTTGTTTGTTTACATCTGATGTTCACTCACGTTTGGGCAGTAGAAGTAAATAGGTCAGCTTTTCTTTTGCCTTCTGAAAACTAGCCCCCTCCCCCAACCCCCTTTTTTCCTAAGTTTCACAATTTACTTGGTTTCACAGCATTGTAGGAAACTGTTACTACATTTTTACTGGAAATACTATTATTCATTTTGATTTTGGTAAGTCCTTTTCTGTTCTTTTTTTCTCTTTCTGTTTGTATATGGAATCTAAGTTGTGGGCTTAAAGCTGGCTTATTAAGGTCCATTTAAAATGTCTGAAGAACGCATTTTACAATCTCACATCTTTTGATGGCAAAGAGGAAGTTTTTGTTTGCAGTTATGCTCATGTTTATGGAAAAATTCTGTACTTAAAACTTTCGTAGATATACAACTATCCTTGAATGAAGAGCACAGTAATAGTGCAGAAAATTCTTCAAACAAGTTTCTGACTAACACATTAAAAATATTCCAGGTGCTTTTCTTTATGTCATACTTTTATTTTTTTTTAAGGTAATAGTATTTGCAATATGACTGATGTTGCTTGGATGGTCTTAATAGTCTTTTTGCTTGAATGCTTCAGAAGGCTTTTTAACATAGTTTTTAGATAATTTTGCAAGCTTTATTTAAGCTTATTGCACTTAGAACTCCCAGGCGAGTCTTTATGGAACTAGAAAAGTAAAAAGCCCCCTGCTTTTGCCAGATTTTATTTTTAAGAGGTGTAAGTGTTGGGCGGCCCCTGTTTCGTTTAGCTTTGAAGGATCCATCCTTTTTCCCATTCAGTCATCTGGAAAGAGCTGCCTCAGAAATACTCTTCTTCTGCTTACATGAAGAACTCTAAATGCTATCCAGCAGGAGGTGCTGCAGCAAGATAAAGGAAACCTCTGAATTGTAAGGGTCTTGCTATTTATTACAGCTCTACTTAGCTTCAGCTAAGCAACAGAATTAACACCAAGTTCCAGAAAGATGTTGAGTAAGTCCTTTGAAAAATTCCATTTGCTATTAGAAGCTGAAATTTGTGACTGCTTTTTACCTGCTTACAATATTACACAAAGTAGATTGCTTATGGTGGACAGCTTAAGGATGCTGCCCTTAGGTACAGAGTACTGTTAGAAATATTTTGCTTGGAAAATAATTAGTCTCATATTGGAGTTACTCTCATATTGGTGAGTGGAGTGTTGAACACGTTTTTAAAAGTTACGTGCTGTGGATGGCTATAAACAAAAGTAGTTAATATGACTTGGGACTTTCGACTTTGTGGTCATCTTTATAATATTAATACGAGTGAGATATAGAGTACTTGAACTATTATTGGAAAGGGAGATATTGTATGGAAAAATTCTTAGACTTTCTGTTTTTTTTCTTCCCATCTATGGACAGTAATCCTAATAGATAAATTTTTAGGCCCTCAGCTTTATAAATACATGCAGTTAATGTGTTTGAGTTGGCCTCCAAAGACTGAGATTCTTGAACTAGAAGTAAAGTTCTGTCTGTGGGTATAGGTCATTGCTGATATGGCTGTTAGTACCACTTAACAACAATTGCATAAAGATGGAACTATTTTCATAACATTTATAGCACATGGTCCTTTGAAACTCTTGTTAGTGTTAGGTGAATTGATTTATCACTGGAAATATTATGGTACTGTGGTGGCTTTTAAAAGTTTTATATCAAAGTTTTAAAAACTTAAGAATGTGTAGAAAATTTGATGAACTTGCTTTGACTTATGTTTGTTTTTTGGAAATAATGCTGTCCTTTTTTCTCAGTGAGATCAAATGATATAATACATGTGAAAGTTCTTTGTAAATTGTCAGAAGCCATGCAGATGTTAAGTTGTTGAGATAGGTGGCTAATTAATACATGGGCAGAAGCTCCTGGCTTTAAAATACTAACTTTCTCCATATCATTTGGGAAACGAGTGCATTAAAAGTGCACCCAGACACTTTATGAACTTTTTTTTAATACTGCTGTGGTTACCAAAAAGCTCTTTGTTAGAATATTGAAGCTTTGTTTAAAAATGCTGTCTAGGCAGTTTCCCCTAATTAAAAAAAAAAAAGATCATTTTTTCCTTCTGTAGACCCTGTGAAATGTATATCTCCTGTTAAAGTTTTTCTTCATTCTCCATTGATGTGATAGTAGTTAATTTTAGTGATTATTTTAAAGTTCCTGTATTCTTCTGTAGACTTTTAGTAACACACAGAGTAACAGCTGTCACAGTTAATATTTTGATTGTTTTGATTGATCCTGCTAACTTTCTGAAAAATTCTTTCGAACTAAACCATTCAGACTTGTTTTAGAGTGAAAAAGACATGTATCTGTATGCGTTAGTATTAGGTACCTGTGTGTATCATTTTTGTTTTTCTAATTGAGAAGGATGTGTGAGGAAATGACTACTCAAATCTAGAGGAGTGCACTGAAATATTTTTGGTGTCAAAATAACTTAGAAGTTTAAAACTCAGAACTTTGAGTTCTGGCTTTCTTAATAGACGCTACTCATAAATTTGGACTGAAATAAAGTAACATATAGATAATGGGGAGTTCCTATTTTGTGAGCATATCAAAAGGTGTAGTAGCTTAAATTTTAGAATTAACTACTCTTTATGAAATAACCTCAACTAGAAATTAAATATAGAAACTTGCTTCAGTGAAGGGTGAGAAAAACATTTAACTGTTTAGATAAAAATGAAGCTTCTCAGGGTAATATTAATGATTTCATCCTAGACAGTGAACACTAAAGTTTTTTTTTTTTTCTGAGGAAATACTGACATTAAGGTTTTAGTAACGTGTTTTAAATTTTGGATCCTTAATATTTTATTTCTGAAGTCTTTTGTATTTAATTACTGTTGAAAAGGGAGAAAAGGAAGGGGTTATAGTTTTAGGTCTCTAATCTTTGACAGCAATCATTTATATCTATATTCAGAGCTGATTTCTTGAAACATGTTTAAATCTTCATATTAATTTGTGCTGGGAAGTATTAATGATTTATGTTGACTTCTTAGAACTTTTGTACATGGGCTTTTTTCATAGGCCCTAAATATTCTTTAGGAGCATAGCAATGTATTTTGGTCACTTTCTAACTTTACCTGGTGTGTATTTTTGCTGCTTGGAGGTGTTTTTTAAAGTAATATGTTAATACTGCATGGAAATTATTGTTGCTAATTATTTCTTAAATAGCATATGTTTCCTTCTTTGTATCATGTGTGTGCATGTGGCCATACTGTTTTGTGGGCTTTCATATCATCTTATTTGTATATTGAGTTTCTGAACAGTTACCTTTGGTGGGAATGTTGAAATAGACTGTTTGTTAGGAGTAACTTTTATATTGCTTGTCTGTCAATTGACTCTTAAACTGGGATGGTAGTGAACTTTTCCCTTTAAGAGAGAAGCTGTGTTTCAGTCATCCTTTGAGCTTTTCTAAAGCAACTTTCTTACACTAGACTCTTGTTAGGCAGTTTGAATGCCCCTCCACTTCTCTCCCTCCCAACACACTGCATACTGCACACCTCTGCCCCCTTTTTAAATAAAAAATAGTGAGCAGGTCTCAGCTGGAGGAAACTATTCTTTCCTATATTTTGGAATCATCTATGGAAGTGAACTGATAATTTGGAGATAGGAAAGGGATGGGGCCTAACAGGTTGATGATCTAGGTTATATTTTGACTTTGTTTGTGGGCCTAGGGGAGAAAAATAACTTAAACACAGAAGCCAAAAAGATGGGTTTTGTTTTATTGTTTTGGCTGCATTGAGAATACAAACTGTCAGTACTTGAGGAGAAGGAGCAGCAGAAAGGAATTGATTTTTTTCTGCTGCAGATCCAAGTATTGTTAACCATGTGGATCTCTAAAGCAGCATACTTACAAATCAAACAGTAGTTGATTCTCTGACTCAATTAGCAGTCAGAGCCCTAGACTGTTTTTTAAAATTTTAAACAAGTACCAAAAACTTCAGAGTAATGACAATAATTTCCTGATAAAAGTGGGTGATAGTAACCATGGCAACTGCTATCTCTGGCCTTATGGACAGTAAGATCCTGTAGTAGCCTGTCACTTTTATGGTGAAATGTAGTAGCATGTGTTGCAGGTGATTTTTAGCTGGATTGTGTTAAATTTGTGTGCCAGCTTATCTTCCCTTGTTAGGAATTTCTTGGACTGTATTCCACAACATGTTTGTGAAGGTGCTGTTGCCTGAAAATAACCCACCACCTGTGTTAGGCCTCCTAATGCAGATTGCACTTAGTTCTTTCCCTGCCTCCTTCTTCAGTGTTGCAGAAAATAAGAGAGTGTGTAGAAATTATATACATATATTACAGCTCAAAGTTATCCACTTGGATTTGGACATGTCACTGATAGCTTATAAAAAAAAAAACCTGTGTTTCTGGAAAAGGTCAGTGGATGAGAGAAATGGATCTGTAATTGGTATTTTCCTGAGTGTTCTTTTCACAAACAGATGTGTATGTGAATTGAAGGGTGAGAAGTGGAGGGGGTGAATAGTAAGAACTCCACAAAAGAGGAACTTAAGTATTATTGTTGTTGTGTGTGATGGTTATATGTGTATACCATAAGAATATATTTCCTAGTGGGCCTAGTGGGCAGTATGAAAGTATGGAAAATGTTTTCCTGTGAGAATTTTCTTCAAGAAAAATTATTTATAAAATGTAATTTGAAAGACTGTTAAGAGAAAACCTGATAAAACAATTAAAACTCTTTTGGGGTATAGGGGATAGAAAGCTTTGAAACTGATCAGAGTTAAGAAATTGTTTTAAAAGTTGTATCTTTAAGTATCATTTAAAATTTGTGTCACATCTTTTTGCTTTTTAAGGATTTCTTTTATACAGTTACTCTGTTTTTCTAAAGTGAGAATGTTGATCTAAATGTTAATTGATACTTTTTTTCTGTATATAGTAAAGAACCTGTGCTATGGCAGAGAACAAACAAATTATATGTAGATTTGACTAGGCCCTGATAATAAGATCTAGTCAGATTATGCTAGATAGTTCAGAGTTTCTTAAAACTTACTGTGATAGGGTGAAATGGTTTACTTACTACAAGTCCCAAGATGCATTGCAGTTTTTTTTGCCTCGCTCCAGACTAGAGCATTGCATGCTGGGACCTGTAGTTGATTTTAACAGCACAGGGAACCCTTCCCTCCTGTCTACTCCATTTTATACACAGCTTCCCAAAGCCTCTGAGAACTTTCTGCTAAGTAAAGTTTGATTGCTAATGTCATGATTATTATGCTGCTAGTATTCTAAAGTGAGTCTTCAGAAACACCCTAGTGTGATTTTACCTTAGATGCGTTAGCTGTTTTTTAAAATCAGTTACTAAAAGATTTACATGTAGAATAGCATACATATGTATGTATATTCAAAACTTGACTTAGCAGTTGTAGCCTTTTTGTTGTTTGTGATGGTACAGATTTCTTTATAATTACAGCATTAATTGATTGCTAGTGTGGGCGTTAGAATTAGAAGATTGTTATTGTAGGGCCTGATATATATGTGGTTCTTTCTTTGAATGGGGACAGCTAAGTTGGATGGAAGGGTTATTTTTGTGCCAGAATTTAAGTAGAATTTTTTATTCTTCTGTAATGATTGTCAACGTCTTGAGTCTCAGTATTCTTTAAATGGAAGACAAAGTCCTGAAAGTAATTGTTATTTTAGTGTAAGTTTAATACTCAAAGCTAAAGGCTGAAAGGTAGAGAAAAAAGTAAGGTTATAAAAACAAAATGTAATTTGCTTATATTTTCATTTGTAAATTAAAAAATTCTGTCCTTTTGAGGGTTCTAATACTTTCCCCTTTCTTAACTAGTGTCAGTGTTGTTGTAGGGATTAAATGTTAAAATCTGTGAAAGTGCTTAGCACAGTGCCTGGCACATAATAAAGTCTCAATAAATGTTTATTGTTAGCAGTAGGTTTAGTAGTAGTGTTTATCGTTATTTTTTAAAATATCATTATTTACATTTTTTCCTCTCTTTTTACATTATTATTTGTTTGATCAGAAACTCAGGGTGTTCTAAAAAGGCCTTGAGATTTTTGGTGTATAGTAATGATGTGGCAGTTCCTTAGAATCTTTTTGCCATACATAAAATGTCTTCACACCTCAGTTTCTCCCTAAGTGATATATGCTCCAAATCAGACAACCAGCTAGTAGCAGAATTTTCATCGGGATCCAGCTTTGCCTATTCAGAACTCTTTGCCACTGTGCCATGGCCTTTGGTTGATTTTAGAAAGTTCAAAAGATAAGTGAAAACTTCTTTGTTAATAATGTTTGCACTGTTAGAACATCTAAACTTGTTGATTCATGAAAATAAGATGCTGTATAAATTTCCTCGTGTCACAGTGTATGTAACCTTGGAAAAATTCTGTCGTGTTTAGAAGCATGAAACAGTCTATCACCACAGTTCACAGTGTTACAGGATTGATGTATTGGAGGCCAGTGAGCAGCCCCAAAAAGAAAGTGTAGTTTCAGGTCTGTGGGATGTATTTAAAATGTTAGGTTCAAAAGAAGTTATAAGTCTTTACATTATTTTTCTCTTTTAGGACATGAACTTCTTTTCAGCTCTTGAAATTGTTTGAGGATAATTTTTTATCTACATGGCTTTTAGCTTTTTGAGAAGGAAAAGGGACACCTGGGAATGTTGAAAAATGTAGGCATAAGTTGTGGTGTATGTGCCTTAGTCTGAGTGTATGTAGAATCAGGGAAGTGTCTTTGTTACCTCCTTGACCATTGTCTATTAGAGTTCATCAAATGCTATTGCTGAGGGCTGCTGTGTTTATTTAAGGAAGCTCTGCCTTTAGTAGTAATTATTTAAGTACTTATTTATACAGCAACCCATTCCATTGTAATACTACTAATCTTTTTTCCTCATAAAGGTGAGCTGAAACTTGTTAATATTTGTAGTTGAGACATTAGATAGATTTTTTAGATATGTCTTAAATTTATGGAATCTGGTCTGATATGCTTCTACATTATGAATGGTTTTATTTATTTTATATTAACTCATCTTTTCAAGACCTAATATTAAAATGAAATTAATTCAGTGATTACAAAGATGTTAAATTCTAATGGCTAAGGGTAAGGGAGAAAATGGTCTCTGGTGTTAATTGGCCAGTACAGGAAGTATGGATGAATTCTTATCTACATTTTATAGTTACACACTAAAGTTGGAAATAAGGAGAGAATGTAAGAGGTGTGAAACTGGGCAGCCATGTGTAATTATGTATAGAGTCCTCTGACACACCTAAATTATTGAGCACAGTTTTCTATCTTTTTTTAAATGAAGTATCCCAAACCACTTGTAAATGAAACAGTTGTGATAGTGTCAGAAGACCTGGGTTTAAGACCAGTCTTGTCACTGGCTGTACACTCTTGGGAAATTCATCCTAGCTGAGCTTTAATTTTCCCAGTACTGTAGTAAAATTGGGATAATGGTGAAAGCCTGCTTCACTGTATTCCTAAAAGGATGAAATAATACTCATGAATGTACTTTATAGACTAAAGAAGTGCATACAAATTTGAGTTTTTAATCACTAATAGATGGCTGGATTTTAAGATATTTGTCTATATTATGTTAACAATGTTAATATTTACAAAATTTAAGTATATGAGTTAGAATCATAATTGGTGATCTAGATCACCCTCCCTGCACCATGGCCAACAGACAAGTTCTTAACGTGTTTACAGTGTAGTTCTTGACAATATGCACTGCTGTGTTTGTGTGTATATATATATAAAAATATTGTAAGTGTACTGTGTGTTACATTATTGGAAAGTTTCAATTATGGCCTTTTATGTTGAAAAATATTCTTATGTGTTAATACTCAAACTTAAATACATATATTTGTTCTTAGAGAAAGGTCATATATATATAAGATTTTTAATATTTGGCAAGTTGTGAACAGTTTTTGTATTTAGGGTTATCTGTTATTATATGTTTAGTATGCTTATGAAGATGTTTAGTACTAGCCTTTTTACATATAATACCTCAGTTAATTTTAGTCCTCACAGCAATGTTCTGAGGATTTACTGTTATTATCCTACCCCCATTTTACAGATGAGGAAGTGAAGGCTTCCCTGGGATCACATACATAGCCATGATACAATATTAATGCAAGCCCAAGTTTGATTCCAGAGCCCCTCCTTTTAAGTGCCTGTAATGCGGTACTAAACTCTGTAATTCCTGTAGAAGCTTAGCAAGTGTATTACTAAAGGAGTTTTCAATCCACTGAAATGGCCACAGCTTTGACATATCCTTTTAAGAATGTTTCATCTGATTTTGTTGGGTTAGGTTGAATGTTTTGGAAATAGTAAGCAGTGGAATGGAATGGAAATGAAGGCATTTGGGATAGTGTATTTCCTGACCTAGGTGGCGTAGTGGTAAAGAATCCACCTGCCAAGGCAGGAGACACAGAAGATGTGGGTTCGATCCCTGGATCAGGAAAATCCCTTGGAGTAGGAAATGGCAACACACTCCCATATTCTAGGCCTGTAAAATTCCGTAGACAGAAGAGACTGGTGAGCTACAGTCCATGGGGTTGCAGAGAATCAGGCATGACTGAGCGCACGCTACCTGTGTCCTGTCCATCACTGTATGCCCGTTGCAGAGCACAGTGCTTGCTGTGGAGTAGGGTCTAGTATCTGTTTCTTAAAGGTTGCAGTCTGGGCACTGTAGCATGGCAGGTTATCCATTTTCTTAGTAGGTGCAGATGATTTACATTAGCTATTTCAATCAGTCCTTAGGTAACTGTCAGCATTTTAGAGGGTAGGATGGTAAGTGTCCTTTCTTTTAATAGTTGAATATTTTAAAAATATCAAAAGGCAGGGAATTGGAGTTATAAATATAATACTTGCAATACAGATATGTGTAAAGTAGAAAGCAAAAGTTAGCCCATTCTCATCTACTTTAAATTTTTCCTGTGTATTTAACTATGTATAATGTTGTTTAGTCACTAAGTAGTGTCTTACTCTCTTGCAACCCCATCATGGACTGTAACCCACCGGCTCCTCTGTCCATGGGATTTCCCAGGCAAGAATACTGGAGCAGGTTGCCATTTCCTTCTTCAGGGGATCTTCCTGACTCAGGAACTGAATCCATGTCTCCTGCACTGGCCAGTGGATTCTTTACTATTGAGCCACTAAAGAAGCCCCATGTGTAATGTATATCCATTTTAAAAATAAGTAGAATTATACCATTGTACTCTCTTAAAGTTCATTTTTTTCAGGTGGCTATCTTAAAAACTTTGGCTTGTTTTTGAAAATAAGGCTGAGGTGGGAAATGGTAGTGAGGTTGGAAGGAGAGAGGTAGGTAAGATTTGTATATTAAGATTGTAAACCTCTAATGCCCTAGACTGATTATTACTTATGGGGCAAAAAGCATTTTAAGTTCTTTTTGTTTGAGTTGAGTTGCACGCGTGCTCAGTTGTGTCCGACTCTGTGAACCCATGAACTGTAGCCCGCCAGGCTCCACTGTCCGTGGGATTTCCCAGGCAAGAATATTGGACTCGGTTGGCATTTCCTTCTCCAGGGGATCTTCCTGAACAGAGGGATTGAGTCCTTGTTTCTTTGCCTCTCCTGCGTTGTCAGGCTGATTCTTGACAACTGTGCCACTGTTAGAAATCGTCGTCGTTATTTTTTAAAAATTTAAAATGTCATCTTATGTAAAATGACAACATGTTTTCTGTCCACAAGTAAATTAGGAAATATCGCTTCAGAATTAAGTTCCGTTAGTTTATTCTGGTAGTTATTTATAAGGAGATCAGTTGAGGTTTCAGATAAGTTTTAAAAAAAAAATTGTAGTTTCTCTTTCTGATTGTTAGGAGGGGTTCATTCAACATTTACACGGTAAAGTAGAGTTTTAAAACCAAGAAAATACTTGTGCTATTTTAATAAATAGAAACTCAAACCAATACTGCTTAATGGGCATACAGATATTGCATACAGATATCCTGCCTAGGAATTAGTGTTGGTTGACCTCACCATCCCTAACCTTACTTACTCAATCACCTTTGAATGCTATACTGGTAACCCAGCATTTTTTAAAGCAGTAAAAAAAAAAAAGGTAAATAATTGGAAGTGCCAATAATTTAATGAGTACTAATACTTCATTTTTTTCTGGTGTTATTTATATTTTAAAAAGCATACTGAAGACTTTATAATCTGCAGTAAATATCTTTTGATTCTAGCTTTGAGAGTTTTGACTTGTTGGTAAGCTTATATTAATAATTCACCTTTGTAATTTTTAAGTTGAAAATTTTTATTTCATGGGTAATAAGTCTTTCATGATAAAAGTTTAAAAAGTGTCTCTCTAATTCTAGAATGTGCTCATATCTAAAGTGCTTTGTCCATCTTTAGATCGTATTTACTGAAGTCCTAGGGCGTGGCCTTAAAATTCTACAAATTGGGTCTGATAGGGTGTAGCAGTTAACTAGTTTTAACAAGCCAAGTTAAGGTTATGTCTCATTGGTAGTGTTCTTAGGTGCTTTTCATTTTGTGTGGCTCAGACTATGCTCTGGAGGGTATTTTATTACTTCTCATAATAATTTGATAAGTGCACAAAGGACTCAGTATATGTCATGGATGGTAAAACTGAGGCAGAGACAAGAATTTGAGTAAGTTGATATTAATAGCAGAGCCTAATTTTCCTGGCTTTCTTATTCTAGCTTTGGTGTTCTTAACCTCTAGTACCCAAACTTAAATATTATGGCCCCCATAAATATATATTTATATATAATTTCCTGAACCTAGAATTTTATGTATGTTATAAAACATACAGGAAATTAGAAATTTTAAAAAGGATGAGATTTAAAAATATAAGTTGTAGTAATTTCTTCCCATGGCCCTCTTCTTTCCCCAGGGTGGGTGCACCCACTTGGAGACTAGCGGCCTAGACAGGCCATTCTTCTGCAGAAGAGGCAGCCGTGGGGACACCTGGAGGACCCTTGGTACAAGGTGTGGGGCTCTTAAGTTGGCGTGATCTTTTACAGCTTTTTAATTTTAAAAGCAACAGCCTTTCTTGCTGTGAAGGCTGAATGATCGAGAGTAAAGGCCTTGAGAGAGGTTAGCTTAAAAGACAGAAATATAGGCCTTATTTGTTTTCTTCAGAGTTGACCAAAGGGAGAAGGCTGGCCTACCCTGATGGCTCCTACTCCCACTATGGAGATGGCAGGGCCTTTTTCTGTTGTTGTTAGGCAGTTTATAGAACGCAGGATAGCTTGGTAAGCGTCTTCTCTGTGCCTGATATGACGTAACATTGTGGAGTATGCAGCATGCATGTTAAGTACAAGTGGTTGTATTTGGCTTGTTGCTGCAGCAGTTTTGAGGCTGTCTTAAAAAGCAATTATCACTCGATAGGGTTGGATATGTACAAATTATTGAAATCATCATTTCACAAAGACCAAACTTTGTAACTTGAATTATTCTATTTAGTATTTGTTTTCTACTCCCCCTGCCACCCCCCACATAACTCAGAGCAGAATTCTTTTTCTGAAAGGAACAGATGCCGTTAGCTTATCAGGACCTGATACTAAAAAGCCCACAAAAATCTTTCTGCTGCTTATTCTCTTTATTTAATGTATATGCAAAGCATATTGTAATTATTGCTGTCAGAGTGTTTTAAGCCGATGGTTCCTCCCCACCTTTTTTGTCCTCAAGGGGGATAGATCAGGAATGCCAAATCGACAACTTGGTATAAGGAAATAATGACCACTGAAATAAAACAGGAGTTCAAATAAAAAGCAAACCAGATACAAATGTAGAATGAAAATATCTTTTAGTAAAATGTTAGCATGCTGTACTTGGAACAGATGCCACATTAATTCAAAAGAGAGCCCAGAAAATGTGGCAACTTTACGATGTCAATGGAGGGAGCTGCAATAGTTCCTGTTCTTATTGTGTCAAGTTCTGAGTACCTCCAGGTCCAGTCCTGTTTTTCTATTTATTTTCTGTGTATAATCCATGTTAATATTGCAAATATTAAATCCATGCTTAATATTTTGTTTATATTATTGAATACATTGTCATATTAATAGATATTAGGGTAAAAGCCCAGTAACTTGTAATCCAACAGTAATGAATCTTGTTTTAAATATGCATGTCAAGATTTGTAGAATCTGAGGCAAAAATGGACTTTTCTAGACACCCTTCACGGCACGTATATGATAATAAGGTAGTCTAAGAATTGAGGCTTTCAAAGAGGCCTACTGCTTTTTGAATGTAGAATTTGGACAAGTTACAAAACTATGAGAATTTTGCATTTTTTTCTCATTTAAATCTGCAGTTATCATTGGACATTTGCTATGATTTTTAAGTAGCTTAGATTCATTCATTCCTTTTGCTGTGTTTTTTATGGTGTTTGGAAAGAAGAAAGGGTGATGGAAGGGTACTATATGCGCTTGGGTACTTGCAGGGTGACATTCATTTTATGGAAGATCTCACTGGGACGTCCCTGAATTGCCTGCATCTTGCAGTGCGTGGTTAGTGTGGGTCTGTGTGCAGGGAGATGGGCTGGGGCTTTTAGCCTGACTCACAGTGTGCTGCTTCCAGAGCACTGCAGTGACCTAGTCACTGGGGGCACGCCTCCTGTGCCTGTCACGGAGTCTGCTGAGCTTGCTCAGACGAGCACTACTCGCTTTCTCTCAGCTGGTTGAAGCGTGAAGCCTCACAATTTACTAGTTTTGTGAAAAGGGTAAAAGTTGTTTTCGGGCAGTCTGAATGGAGGGAAGCTTCTAGCATGGCAATAGAGCACAGTGGTTGAGAGTGTGGGTGCTGGAGCTGGGTCAGTCTGCATGGGCTCAGGCCCTGGCTGTGCTCAGGCTGTGCGCAGTCTGGGTTTGTATCAGCTCTGTGACAGGTCACTGCATCTGCTGTGCCTCTGCCTCAGTTTCTTCATCTGTCAGGTTTGAGTAAGTAAGAGTACTCTCTTTCTGAGGTTGTTAGAAGGAAAAAGTGAGTGCCTGACACATAGTGAGCACTAAACAAATGGTAGCTGTTTTTAGTTATTATTAACCTTAATTCTAGACTTGTTCTCTTCTCAGGGTTTGAGACAGATGTTGCATAATGGGCAAAGAGCCTAAGCTTGGAGGTCTGAACTATGGGTTGGAATCTCAGTGTTCGTGTGTGTTAGTTGCTCAGTTGTAGCTGACTCTGTGTTACCCCATGGACTTGTAGCCCACCAGGCTCCTCTCTCACCAGGAATTCCTGTCCATGGAATTCTGCAGGCAAGAATACTGGAGTGGGTAGCCGCCATTCCCTCAGGGGATCTTCCCAACCTAGGATCAAGCCCAGCTCTCCTGTATTGTAGGTGTATTCTTAGCATCTGAACCACCAGAGAAGCCCCTGAACTCTCAGTACAACCACTTCAAGTTGAGTGTGTGACCTTGGACTGATTATTTAAGCTCTTTTTGACAAATATGTCTCCTGTACATTCATTCATTCCTTTTGCTATGTTTTTTATGGTGTTTAGGAAGAAGAAGAAAGGGTGATAGAAGGGTACTATGTGCACTTCGGTACCAGTGCTATATATCAAGCATTCTGCTATTCACTTGGACTTTTCAGTTTCTTTACTGATGACATAGGGACAATAGTAGTGACATCTTTGGATTGACATGAAAACTAAATGGGGATATCTTAAGATACTTAATAAGCTTGATTATCATTGTTACTCTTGTTTAGTTACTAAGTCATGTCCAACTCTTTGTGACCCAGTGGACTATATATAGCCTGACAGCTCCTTTGTCTGTGGGATTCTCCAGGCAGGAGTACTGGAGTGGGTTGCCATTTCCATCTCAAGGGGATCTTCCCAACCTAGGGATTGAATCCAGGTCTCCTATATTGGCAGGCGGATTCTTTACCACTGAGACACCAGAGAAACCCACTGTTATTGTTACAATCCCACTAAAAGTTTATGGGAAAAGGGTAAATATGGAACAACTTAGTTAAAAAAGAGTTTTTTCCTGAAATGTCATGAGAAAAGATATGGATGGGAAAAGTGACCTAATGAGTTCTTGTTTGTGGAAACTGCTAAGAGAAGTATAAAATACATGGGAGTATGTCAGTTATTACAGAGACTTTGAAAAGTATTTCAGGGCACTTTATATTTTTTAAAACTTAGTGGTAAAAGATTTTTTTTGGCATCAAGATACTGATATTTACAGTAGGTCACTTAGCATCAAGGCAGTAGCAGATTAGGCATTGTATTACAGCTCACAAGTTCAGAATTCTCATCAGCTGGTCAGTCCATTGGGTCTACAGCCCAGGACAACTTGAGAACACATGCTTGGTTTAATAACTCATGGAGACAAATGTAGAACGTCAAAGATGTAAAAGTGGCATAGGAATGCTTTCTAGTAATGATGGACACAGTTTATTTGCCTTTTGAGCATTTTTCCTTTGTGAAATTTCCTCTCATTTGGTGCCTGTTTTTTTCTTTCAGTAATTGTTATTTTCTTTCTATATTTAATCATCATGTTACCTATATTGAGCCTAGAAACTGGGCCTGAGAACAAGTTGATTGTGAGAAAAGCTATATTTTGTCTCTGTCTTACAGTGATCTCAAAATTAAGTTTTTGGAAAAGAATTTGAGTTTTAAATGTCTTTTGAGTTTTTAAATGTACTTTTGAGTTTTAAATATATTCATTAGTATGTAGGTACATAGAAGTGTATCTATAGGTATGTATGTATCTAGTAAGTGAAGCCAGTCATTGAGGGGGATGATCATTGAGTATGAAGTAGGATTAGTTTTATTCATTTACTGCCAGTTTAGATCTGAAACCTTTTTTGTCTTTGGTCTGTGTAGTTTTTTCCCCTGGGATCAACAAATGTGTTTGTAATAGCTTAACCAAAACATCCTGAATACAGTATATGTTGCCAGTAGTGAGCATTTGAGTTAAAAAATAGAATAATAGCTTCCATTAATTTTTTTCCTCATTTACCCAACTGCACCACTGATAAAGTCCTAGTAGGTGGATAGAAGTCTTTATTCAATTTTATTTTGTCTGTGTTCCTAAAACATTGTTTCTGCTTTCTGAGCAGAAACTCCAACAAGGTTGTTTTGATAAAATGTCATACTTTAGCTTGACAAATATTTTTTAACATTAAGCAATTTTATAGCATGTTGTGTAGTTTTTTTTTTTTCAATTAATAAATTGTCTTACTTTACAGTAGCCAGAGTGGTCAGGAAGTAAAGTTTTGTAGTTTTAGAATTAGCATAGCAGGTATATTGTGTGTCCTATGTTTTCTTTATTTCAGTCAGTATTCAGGGTCTATAAAAGTTGCTTATCTTGGGTGAATGGAATTGCAAAAAGTTTAGAAGTGAATTTTATTTTAACAAACAGGGGAGTTAGAAGTGGACCCTAAATGGCCTCTTTGGGGTTGATTTAAAGAATTACACAATTTTGAAAATCATGTCCCTGCCTCATTTGTAAAAGGTGGGCTACTTTTGACTGCTGTTACACTTGTGCAGGAGCCTGTCTGGTTCGTGATAAGTTAGCTACTTTGCAGAGAGATGCTGCCATCGACCCCTCCATTTCTTTTGCTCTCCCCTCTTTATTATCTTTGAAGTTTCATCTGTGCCTGTGCCATTCCCTGTCTGCTGTTTATCACTCCTTCCAAAGCAACCACCATCTTATTCTGTTTCTCTTAAAAACAGAACATTATTTCAATGATTAGTTTTTAAACAGAGAGACTTGTTATCATAGACCTCAAAGCTTGACAGTTTGTGAACCTCTGCATTTTGACCCCTCAGCCAGGAGTTGGACAATAACTTAAAATCACTTCCAAAGTAACAGAAGATTTGTGAAACATTTCGTATCTGGACTAAGGGAGAGAATAGAAGACCTTTTTACCTCAAAAGTTGCTATATTATTTTCCAATAGGAAGTGAACTGGGATCGTAGAGAGTGAAGGGGTAGCCTTGATACTTAACCAAGATAAAAGAAATAGGAAGCATTAATT